ATATATTATATATATCCTTTACTGGGACAAAGAAACACAAAATTTACTATCTGCTAAAAAGGAGCAAAGAAAGGGAGAGAGGAAAGAAACAGGAAATATGATAAGAAACATAAGTTAATCTCTCCAAAGAATCATCCAGCTTTATACCATTGTTACACATAGTACCAACAGTCATTAAATTAATAACATGAGGATATGGTCAAGATTTATAAGCTATGAAGAGCTAGGTTAGATAGGTGTGTATATACTGTGAGTCCCTTTGTGAAGTATCTGAGCATATTCACAGAGAAAAGACAGGAAGGAAAGCCACCCATGTTTCCTACAGGGAGTAGGATAGAAATTTCTTCTTCCCATTTAATTTGTCTGTATTGTTTTTTAAATCTCCATCGTGAGCTTTCTTTAGCTGTGTGAACAAACAGAATTTTAAAATCAGCTAAACATATATATTAGGTAAAAAAGGAAAAGTGCTCGCTTTGGCAGCACATATATACTAAAATTGGAACAATACAGAGAAGATAAAAAAGGAAAAAAAGTTTATAACATCTAGTGTCTTTAGTCTGCACCATTAGAAGGGAATGCGGGAAACTGGGCTGGACCTAAAGAGAGGCTGTCCCAGTGGATCCATGTTCTGCCCTTTGGAGACTCTAACTCTCTTGAGAAAGGGACCCACCGAATTGCCTGGGTCTTCAGTGTTCTGCCTACTCTGGAGAGGATTACACCCCACCCCAGATTCTGCAGTGTGGTCTGCCAGGGTCGGTGGAGTGGGGAGTGGGTTTTGTTGCCCTTGGTGGTGAGGACTCGAGTGCTGAGTCAGCCAGATTGTAAAAATAAATACCGGGTCTGCGTTTAGCTCCAAAAGTGTTACAATCAGCCTCCAGGCACCTTTGGCCTCCAGGGCAGTGAGACTGCTGGGCTGAGAGCAGATGTCTGCTATGCAGCTGCTTGTCAAACTCCCTGGTGATCTCAAAAAGCCAGGCAATGAAATCCTGGTTTCTGCCCTTAGCAGCCTTTCTCATCTAAAAGCAAAGTGGCCTTAGGAGAGTGATGGAAAACAGGCAAAGGATTCTTACCCTGCACCTTGGAGTCTAATCCATCCACCTCCCAGATACCCCAGCTGTCTGTACCACCCCTGCACAGAGACAAAGCCCACATATTCCCTTTCTTTGGGTGTCCATCAAACTCAGCTCTTCAGATCACATTTCCAATGATGGAGTGTTCCAGAACACTGTGTGCAAAGTGAACAGGGTTTGTAAATGTGAGAGAAGATTGGGATTGGCACCCGTAACTAAGAAGGCTTGTTCCCAAGTGGTGAGTTTTCCTCTTTCAGCACCGTGTTATGCTACTCCATGGTGGCCTGGCCTCTGATGACAAGGGCATGATTAAGGGAAATTTGGATAGGAAGCAATTTCTTTGAGAAACACCAGGACCCCTCTTCCCTCTCTTGGACTAAACTATAAAAAAGGCTGCAGTTTATTTGCCAACTGTTTGTAGTTTAGCATCTTCGTGAGCTCTCAACATTGATTTCCTTCTGCCTGAAGCCCTGACCACTTCTTCACAAGTCAATTTCAATAAGAACTCCAGCTTAGTAGCCTGTGATATGATTGGCCACATATCACAGGGGTGCCTTGGAGTCTGCAGTCACTGCGGCGTTCAGACCATCTCAAGGAATGGCTTGAATTGCCCCATGTTCTGAGTCTCCTCAAACCACTTTACTGAGAATGCAATAAAGGAAATGAAAATTAGCTCCACAGTAGGAGAGCTGGCTTCAGCAAATTTGCTTTCCTAAGAAGAAATGAATGGATCCACAACAGAGTCCTCAGTCATCCGGGGCATTGAAAATTATTTCTGGAATGTCAACAATTGAAACTCTCGACAGATTCCCAAAGTAGGTTCTGGGAGCTACATCGCGAACTTCTCTTTACATGCTTTTGAGCTCAGCTTGGGTGACCGTGATGTTTGTACCTTTGTGGAGTGGAAGGGATGTGATCAAGCTGCACCAGTTGTTGACAGGACTTTTGGGAGCATCTAGACTCTATGGCGATGAATTGAGAGTCCACAGACCACACGGCCATTGCAGTCCTGCTGCCTCTAGCAATATAGGTAAAGCACCCAGGTGCCTGTAGTGTCAGAAAAATGGGCTTCTTCACACTTCCAGTCATGCCCTTAGCATCTTTCCTGAGTGTCCTTGTGTCCGTACCTGCTTGCCCAAGTTGGTTCACAGGCTCAAATTATGGATGTTCAGTGTATGCCCATGCAAATTTCACAATGGACTAAAGTGATGTTTATCAGGTATATTTTTGAATCTAGTAGAGTTCTGTTGGATTCCTCTTGTGGCTACACCAACTCACGTTACAGATCAAGCCATTTTCTTCAAGCACACACCCTTCCGTCAGAGGGAACTCGGTGGCACTGAGAAGCCTGGGAAAGACTGCCAGCCTCTCAAGCCATGAGTTGTAGATAATAGATAAGCCTATTGAGCCAAAGAGAAGACCATTTCAGAATGCAGATGGTTGTGATAAACATTTTTTTTGTGGTCAAGAAGTCTCGATTCAGGTTTATTACTCAGTGGGGTTAAGTAAGACAAAGCAGTGAGGAAGAGAACAGACTTAGGAATTCAGTTGAGCCTACTTGTGCTCAGTAACAACCTTGGAAGGTCAACAAACCTAGTGACATGAGAAGGGAGTGGTTGGAAATATAGCTGCCCAAGGACCCTGGCTGTTTGTATACTTGATTACCAAGAGGCATTCAGGAGCAAAAGCCACTTTCCAGTCATAATTTATTAAAAGTACTTTTTTCTTCATCTCTAAGAAGCAATTGAATTTTTCCATTTGGAGTAATAAAAAAGAAAATGAGTGAGAAAGAATCACAATATAACCTGCTAGAGTTTTTCCATGAAATTATTTCTGTTTTGCATAGGTTATGATTATATATATATATCTTCAATTTTTTTAGCAAGAAAATAAATTCAGTGCAAAAGTTTTTAAGTCTTTGAATTCAGTTTCCAGATGATTTTTAATAAAGAAGTAATAATAATAATTGAATAATTGTTCCTTTAGGATCCTGGAAGATCCACATCACAATTAGCTTATACATGTGGAATGCTTTATTGAACTCTACCATACCACACAATGTGAAGGTTTTTTTATGCTACAGAGACAGACCCTCTTCTTCCATGTGCTTTAGTTTTTATGTTCATTTAAGAAGACACACTCACATTTCTACAAAGTCAGCTCGTGTCTGAGTGTGTGTTACCTGAACACAGAGCCTCTTTCTGACTACTTATTCAATGGTTAACTCTTCACATGGATTCCCACATAGGTAGAAAATCACAGAGTCCCATCCTCTGTGGTTAATGAACAGCTTCCATGCTCCCTTAAAATAGTGCATGTAAACCAGGAGCACATTTGTTCACAGGAAACTTCTGGCAAAGTCTGGAGATATTTTTTTGGAGTCACATTTGAGGAAAGAGGTTGCTGGAGCATTTAGTAGGTAGAGGCCAAGAATACTGCTGAACATTCTACACCCCATAGCAAAGAATTTTCCTGTCCAACTTGCCAACAGTGCCGAGGTAGAGAAGCCCTGTCTTCAGGACATGGCACTTTTTTTTTCTAATAGGCACTGGACTCACAAAGGCAGAGCTTCATGAGAATCTAACCTCATGCTGAAAGCAGCCTAGATAGCTGGGCTGTGACAGTGTAAGAACAAAGAATAATGTTTGGGGAAAACAAACACAAAGATCAATACCAGCCCTTCCACTAATGGGTGTGAGAGCCAGCCATCAGGGAGCAAAGAGACACAGGGATTGCTTGTGAGAGATGCCAGGCCTAAGGGAACAGATCTGAATAAGCAGCTTGTTGTGGCTCAAAGGTACCCGCCCTCTGAGGTGGCAAGAGAGGCATTCCCTGACTAGGGGAATGGCTGCCAGCATGTGGCACACCATGGAAAGTGATGCGGTATCAAAAAAAAAAAAAAAAAACAAAAAAAAATGTGGGGGCAAAGTTTTATGTCTTCTGGTGTGAGTGTGTGTGTGTGTGTGTGTGTGTGTGTGTGTGTCTTTATGTGCTACCTGGAGTGTTCGTGATGCTCTAGAGAAAGCATTCAGTTTTCTTTCTTCCTGCCTAGGGCTTCAGCTCTGTTGATTCGCTTTCTCTGGATTATCTCCCTGAAGGCCATGCACAGTGTTTGCTGATACAGGTGTGGTGTAGAGGTGTACACTGTTGATGTGGCTCTGCAGTGGCTTCTCCATGATTTCCCAGTGAGTAAAGCTTTGGTGTCTGAAGCATTTCTACATTTTTTTTGTTTAGTCCCAGCCACATTCATTAAATGTCTACATGCCTTTTGGTGCTGAAAGCAAAAGCTTGAGTCATAATGCGAAAGTGCCAACTAGTTGTTTTTTTTTTAAGTAGATTTTTAAAATTTTTCTTTCACTTCATGTATTTTTTAACAAATGAAATTTCTGACTAACAATATCATAATCTGGGTCATAATCCATCCGGGACCCAGAACAGATGACAGTAGAGATTCTTTATAGGGACAAAATTAAGACTTTGCCCTTGTCTTCCCTCTGATATGTTCTATGGCTCCTGAGGTGTCACCACAGTATAAAATTGCTGACCTGGACCAGTCATTTATTAATTGACAAGAAAGTAGAGATGCGGATGTTTCTTGTCCTTGACCATGAAGTTGGGTGGGACATGGACGTTGTCTTGTCCATGGCCATGAAGCTGGGGCTCCTGATCTCAGGTCCTCCTTAGAAGACCTACTTTTTTTTTCCTCCAGGAAACCATCCCCTTTTCTTTCTCAATGCACCTTCTTCACTAGGTCCCCAATCCTTCACTGGAAAAACCACTGCTCTGGCCAGGTGCATCTTTTTTGTGGGGGCCTCTGATCCTATTGGCTTTTGCACTGAGTTATTCTGGAAGGAAGGTATGAAGAAAAAAAAAATGGAAAAAAGGTCCTAAAAAATAAAGATTAAAAAAGGTACTGAAAGAAGTAGAAATTCAACGGTTTATGAAAATGTGGCAGTGAATGTTTGCTATCTGCTGACTGACATTACACATTCTTTGAGGGTCAGATTTTAATCTGTTTTAAAATCTTAATTGCTTTTTTAAAAACTTCTATTTCAGGGCCAGGGATTTAGCTCAGTGGTTCCACCTTCTGCCTCACAAGCACAAGGACCCGAGTTAGATCCCCAGTACCCCCCCCAAAAAAAAATCCTATTTCAAAATTATCAGCATCTTGCTGGAAAATACCAGAGCATAAATATGTAAGACTTTAAATACAAATTTAAGCTCCAGTCTACATCATTAGTAATATAGCCCTTCAGGCTACCATTACTTGGTGGCAAAACATATATCACTGCCAGGACCTTATGAAGTGAAGAAGAGGCACAGTTTTTTGCAGTCAATGGATTAAAGAAATCTATCAGATTGATGTAGTGTTATGCACAAGAAAGACCCGAAGCTCTAAATATTTAAGCTCTTTGTATTTGATTTAAATGTACTAATCATACAAGACAGTCACACTCACATTCCCTTCTGCTTCCAAAGTCCAAGGGCAGCAGAAGCATATTATTCACCAGATTTGCCACGAGCTCCCCAGCACTTCCCCTTTCCTGTGTGGTCAGTGTGGGACCCTGTGAGCAGGGTCAAAGGGCCCTAAGAGGAAATGGCAAGTGTCACTTTCGGTCTGAGACAATGAAGAGCCAGAATTTCCATGCCCTTTCTTCCACGGATGATGTGGAAGTTCTGCATAGATGGAAACCAAAGAGGCAAAGTGCCGCTCTCTTTGTATCATAGCTATCAACACCGCAATGTGAAGAAATGAGGCTGGGCTCGGGATTTAGCTCGGTGGTTCTGCCACCTGCCTTGCAAGTGCAAGGACCAGAGTTCAATCCCCGGTACCAAAAAAAAAAAAAAGAAAAAGAAAGAAATGAGGTTGATTTTTGGCTCACAAATATAGCCACTGTTCAGTTGACGCCAAGACAAAATGGCATGGAGGAAGGGTCTGGGTGGAGGGAAGCTCTCACATCATTTTTGGTTGGAGAGCAGAGTGGGAAGGAAGGAAAGAAGAGGGAGATGCATCCTTCCAGGTCTCCCTCGTGTGACCTTCCTCCTCTGACCGGGCCCTACCTCCTAGTACCCACTCAGCTGTAGCACCGCTGTAGTCCGATTCTGTTCCAAAACTCCCCCCGTGAGTGCATGAGACCTGTAGCTGACATTCTTGATCTCAGCCATAACAGGCACAAACTATAAACATGATACCATTATTAATGCTGACTCTGGAAGGAAAAATTTGTCAAGTTCCTCCACTGTAAAGTTACTCTTTTCTTTCCTTTTTACTCTCAGTTATTTGAAGGGAGTCAATGTGTACAGCCCACATTTAAGGATTCAGACATTATATTCCTCAAAAGATGGGAGCAAACACAAACTACTCAGAGATTTTCTGCATAGGGGATTTGTCTATTTTGCCTTGATTATTCATTCAATCACTGATTCGTATAAGCATAGACTCGTGGTTATTTTATATTTTGGGCTATACTCTACTGCCACTTCTGTTTTCTTTTCTTTTATTTTCTTTCCTCAAAATCTTCTAACTTTGGTCATTAAGAATAAAATGTACCAATGAACTCAATAAAAGAAAAAAAAAAAGAATTCCTTAATTGGGGCCAGGGATTTAGCTCAGTGGTGCTGCTGCCTGTCTCGCAAGCACAAGGACCTGAGTTCAATCCCTGGTCCAAAAAAAAACAATTCCTTAATTGGCTCCAATGTGTGTTGACACACCTTATCACTGCCAGGTGTTTGCTAGTTTACTGCTTGTTTGTTTCAGCTCTTCTTCACATTTTGACATTTTGAGAGATTACAGGGCATCCTGTATATTTAGTCCTGGGCTCAGGATTTCTTCAGCAAGCTCTGGTTCCTTTTTGTGGAGCATCAGTACGGGAAAGCAAGCTCTGGAAGTCAGGTAAGCATGCCTATGCTGAGGTGTCACTGGATCTAGGCTCTGTCAACTCAAAGAGCGCAATGTAATTCATCCACATTTGTACGTCTGCATCTATGTGTGTAATAATTCCTCAGTTTGTTTTGAAAAATAACTTTTTGAGGTAGGCTTTTAATTTATTGATTTTCAAACTTTAAAAAAAATCTCTGTTAAGGGCTGTGAAATTTTCTTTAAGCATGGCATTAGGCTTTCCTGCAAGTTTTGTGTGCGTGTTTATCTTTTATACAACTCAAAGTGTTTTAGCATTATGCTTTCTTCTTAAATCTGTGGGCAAAACTTTCAAATCTCCACAGATGTTATAGGCACCTCTTTTATAATGATTTATAGCTTTATAATTTAATTGCATTACAATCAGGGAGCACACTTGATTATTACAGTCATTTGAACTTGTGGGGTATTTTCTCAGTGGCACAGCTTCTCATTGCCTTTTTCAAATGTTTAATTTTGAGTTTAAAAGGAGTATGCATTTTGTGGTTCTTTGGTGCAGTGTTCTACATGTGCCCATTAATCTTGTTTTCTAAAGATGTTATTGAAACCTTCTAAACTTGTACTGCTTGATCTATTGGTTAAGAGACATAACCAACAGAGAGTTATACCGATTTCTCCTTTGTGGGTATGGGTTTGTCTCTCTGTGTCAAGTTTTGCCTTATATTTTGAGTCTCTGTTATTAAGCAGGATGCAAGTTGTGTATAGTTACGTGTTCTTGGTGAATTAAAACAGAATTTTGCAAAATGTCTCCCTTTATCATTTGTAATTCTTTTTTTGCTTTAAAATATTCCTTATCTAATATGAGTTTAGTTTTTATTTTGTAGTGTTTGAATGGTATATTGTTTATTTTATGTCAGTCATCACTGGGGTTCTCTTCATTCCTAATCTTACAGTGTCTTTCTTTTAATAAGGTTATATGCCCATTAATGTTTAATGTACTTGTAAAAATATTTGGATTTAAGTATATCGTTTTACTCAAAGTTATTGGGCCCATCAGTTCTATGTTGCTTTTTTTCTTCTTTCTTAACTTCTTTCAGATTAAATGGAAATTTTCAAATATTTCATCTTCCCCTTTGTAGCTTGCAAATTATACATTTTCACACAATTATTTTACTAGACATCCTAGTAGTGGTCTACAAACTGGAGGGTACAGCACAAATTAAACCTGTCATCTATTTTTATATGACTTGTATAAAGGATATATTTCATGATGGATGAAAAGCAAATTAAATCAAACATTGTTTGCAAGTAAAGCTTTATTAGAACTTTTCTTGTCTTTTGCCACTACTTAATATTTATGAACCAAGTATTTTCCAAAACCATAAACAAAAAAAATTCCAAAAAAATTAAATTGGATGACAGTGCTATATATAAATCCTAATTTCAGATATTTTATCTTTTTGTTCTCATTGATCACCATTTTAATACATAGCTATTACCTTGAATCCATAAAATTAATATGCACTTTTAAAATTCCATATTTGTTTTTGAACTTCATGAGACTAGTTTTGAAAATGTGATTGCTATGCTTTTAATTTTGAAAATGTATGAATGAACAAATGCACTAGACTGCTAACTGGAACCAAAGGAAAAAATGTCGGTTCCATATACTATTATTACACTAAAGAGCCCATGAGCATTGTCTCAGGAACCTTCCTAGTCTTTAACCCAAAGCAGAGATTCATGACAATGTCAAGGCAATTCTTCTTTAAATATCGATAATTTGGATATATTCAGAAATCCTTAAAGCAGAGTTTAAGTGATAACTTGGTGAGTCAGATATATTTTGCTTTTCTATTATGTTAGGTCTCCTGTATTTGTTGCCAGAATTTAAAAATTGGAATATCTTCCGTGGAACAAAATCCATATTTCTGACTTCTCTTACAAAGTTGGCAGGAGCATACCAGCTTCCCTTATATAGCAATATTAGCTTGGAACTTACTAAAACTTAGCCTTTATCTTAGCTTCCTAGGGCTGTCATAACCAAACACCATGTATTAAGCAGTTTAAGTCTCAGTCTTAGAGGCTGAAGTCCAAGATCCAGGTGTCAATAGAGTTGATCCTTCTGAGGGAGAGTCTGTTTCATGTCTCTCTCCCAGCCTTGGATGGGTTGCTGGCCACTTTGGTGGATCCTTGACTTCTTGACAGATCACCCTGATCTCTGCTTTAATGCTCCCTTAGTGCTATTCCAGTGCCTGTGTCTAAATTTCCCCCCTTTTAAGGGATATTAAGAGTCCAGGCATATTAAGAGTCCACCTTACTTAAATACAAACTCAATTGCTTAAATTCGCAACAGTTCTATTTCCAAGTAAGGTTACATTTTTTAGTATTGGGAAGTTAAGACACATAAAAATTAGAAGGGATTCAATTCATAACACTTCTTTTACAAGGAACGTCTAGAACACATGCTTAGCATATGTGATGCCCTGGGTTCAACCCTCAGCTGCAAACAAAACAAAACAAACAAAAAACAGATGAAGAAGGATATGCACTTCTCTGTCCCCCGTAGTTCCCTCTGTAGTCACACTGATTTCTGTTTTTCATCGGGTCAATTGAGGCATTTAAATGTAGACTATTGTCCTAAATTCCGTGGGTTTTCCTTAAGATCCTGTACATCTGACCTAAATAGTACAGGCTTGCTGGATCATGGAACTGTCAGAACCAGGGAGAACCTCGGGGGTTACCTTGTTAAATTCTTCCCCTATTGCAGAAGCCCAAATCTAAGGGATGCTCTAAATTAGTTCCACAATGATGATCAAAATTCTTACTATTTGCCTGCAATTTTTAATTTCACTGTATTGAATTTATTTGATAAAGGACACCAAATATGACAAAGCTCTCCTTTCTGGGCCACTGTGCAGGATATAAATCCCTTTCCTCTCAGCTTTTCCCAGCCACTTGCACTGTAGGATTTGGTCATACTGCAAGGCCTAAGTATTATTTTTTGTTTGTTTATGAGCGTATTTGCACTGGATGCTTGTTCCTTAGAAAATAAAAAAAAAAACTCTTCCAAGTAAATAGGGCCACTGTGTACAAATGAGAGTCAAAGAAAAGATGCTTTTCAATGGTTCAGCTGTCTCACAGGCCACTTAACATACAGCATGTGTAAACATGAGTTCTCGTCTACAAACAGTAGTTCTAAATTTATAGCTTCTAAACAGCCATTAATTTTGCTACCATCTGGGTCACAAGAGGTAAGCTGATACATCTTTCATTGGTAATGAAGTGTGTTTTCCCATTTGCACGTTTATTTTCCGAATCCATGTGCATTTCAGCCAGTACAACTGATCTCTCACAAGAACTATGCTGGTGCATGAGAAGGAATCAGCAGTATCCTGTGCCCACCTGCTCCCAATCAATAACGATGCCTTGAGTTTTCAGAAAGAATGCAAGGAGCTCCTAACTCTGCATGTAAGAAATTATTATAAAGGTGATACATAATCAAGTTGGGTCTTTAAGCAGATAACAGTTGTTATATAAGTCAATGAATAATGATCCTTCCTTAATCAAATGCTGTTACAAAACTCTTCTCCCACCCTCAGAATATTTTCATTTTCTTCCAAAACTACAGTGGGATTCAATGGTTTTTCATTAGTATCTAATAATAGCCTAAATCAGGCCCTTGTCTTTGATGCCAACTTAAATCTCTTGCCCAATAAATACTGAATCACATAGTTTTCTGCTCAACACATTCATCGCTGACTATAATTTGCATATCATAATGTGAATGTAATTTCAAATATTCGGTAAAACAAATATAATAAGAACCAGATCACACCTGCTTAAAGGACAGAAGGATTTATATAGTCATTACTATACCGATCCCTCTCAGTGTTTGGATATTTCATATTAGGAGGCCTCTCACTTTTATTGAGTAAATTTTAAATGTGGTACAATTCAAATTTTATAGTTTGCCAAGTGCTTTTGTGTTCTTTGTTTCATGTTTCTCAAAATGAAGAATCACTCTAAGGTATACAAAGGCTATTAACATTTTCTAGGAAAAGCTGATGCTCAAAAAAGTTAATGACTCATCCAGGTACAAAAGCTGTCAGTGCCGAGCTGGATGCAGCCTGAGGTTTCCTGCCCTTGCACATTCTGTTTTTCATTCTATTCTATGTTGCTTCTCCCATACGGTCCTTGGATTTTTCTTTACCTCTTTTAACAAGCCCCACTCCAAGGGCTCTGAAAACACTGCCAACCAGTCCCATGCTGACATTTTCCCTGTGGCCACGTAGACGATTTCCCGGGATGCCACTCCCAAGGGTCACTGACCACTGCAGATTTGTGTGCTGTCCTAGGCCAAGGTGAGAAGAGGGTTTGTTATTGAGCTCCTGGAAATATGGAAGCCGCCCTCTCTTTAGCAGAAGCCTAGAACACTTTCCAATTGTCTGGCTCATGTCTGTACCTTACCTCGGTAGCTTCTTCAATAAGAAAAATTAAATTCTTACAGGAACATCTTTAAATAAACTATGCTTGTGGTGGTTTCCTTGTATCTGCATAGAAATTAAAGGCAGACAGTATTTTTGTTACATAAATAACTTCTTAATAACAGCTTGATATGAACTAATTGCTTTCATGGCTTTGCAAATGCTGGTGGGAATTATTACATAAAGTGTGCAGTTAGGCTGCTGGCTTGGGCGTACTTGAGTGGGGGCTCATCAACCAGGAAACTTCTAGTTTTTATATTTCCGGGTAACTAAAGTTGATGTCCCCTTTGCATTAGCATGAGAATGGCATAGGCCTGCCCTTAAAAAAAAACAAAGCAAAAAACAAAAAACAAAAAAACTGGTCAGACTGCATTTTCTAATGGCATGGAGAGTCATTTGCCTATTGGAACCTGACTGTGCCAGGCTTTGGGCTAAATGCCTTCTGTGGTTCAGAATGCACACACTCGGAAGCAATCAAATCCACCTCAATTTGATGCCCGCCCCC